TACAGAAGGTGGAAGGGTTTAGGTGTGGAAGGTGGGAGAAGTTAGGTGTGCAAAGTGGGGAAGTTTATGTGTGGAAGGTGAGGGGGTTTAGGTATAGAAGGTGGGGGAGTTTAGGTGTGGAAGTGGAGGTAGAGAAGGTGGGGGTTTAGGTGTGGAACGTGGGGGGAGGTTAGGTCTGGAAGGTGGGGATATAGAAAGTGGGGGGTTTAAGTGAGGGGCACACTGCAGCAGGGCCTGGTACAATGATGCAGAGGGCTGGTCAGAAAACAAGTGAGGGTATCTGTGGTAGAAAAAGCAGGCTGAGGATGAAAGGAAAATAGTTCCCAGGAAGATATGACCAGGATTTGGACTAAAGGGGATCAGGAGGAGGACGCTATGAAGGAAAAAAATCAGATTTAACAAATAAAGGTCACATCCCAAGTGATATACTGCCAGCAGGGCAAGCAGGGTAAGAGCTGCTTAGAAACTTGTGAGTTAGCAGGACCCCTTGGTGACTGCCATCTACTGAGGGCTCACTAGGTGCATCACCAGGATGTCCAAAACAACAGAGAACCCTCCCAGCTGCCCCATGAGGGGTAAGAAAGTAGAGGCTTGGACTGGGCGCGGTGGCTCATGCCTGTAATCCCAGCACTTTGGGAGGCCGGGGCAGGTGGATCACGAGGTCAAGAGATCGAGACCATCCTGGTCAACATGGTGAAACCCCGTCTCTACTAAAAATACAAAAAATTAGCTGGGCATGGTGGCGCATGCCTGTGATCTCAGCTACTCAGGAGGCTGAGGCAGGAGAATTGACTGAACCCAGGAGGCGGAGGTTGCAGTGAGCCGAGATCACGCCATTGCACTCCAGCCTGGGTACCTCCGTCTCAAAAAAAAAAAAAAAAAAAAAGAAAGTGGAGGCTCACCAGTTCTACCAGTTCCAGAATTGCTCATGGTTCCTCTGCCAGATGCTGGTGGAGGTGGGAGTGGAGGAGGCCTGTCTGCCTCCCACATCAAGGCCCTTTCCCACTGACCACTGCACCCTCTACCTTCTGCCCCGTGTCTGTGCCATCCCCCATTACTGGAAGGAGGAAATCAGCCACCCTTGTATTCATTCCACAGCCTTTGCAGAGCACCTGAGCTAGGTCTATGAATGAAGGGGTAGACCTTAGACAAAGGTCTAAGGTAAGCTGGGGCCAACGTGGGTGTGAGAGACTAAATGGTCCTGTGGCTGTGAGTATGAGTGTACACAGCAGGGTAGGGGGCGGTGATAGCTGAAGACGCTTGAATAAGGAGATGATAGGACACTGAAGAAGGTGTAGTGAGAAGATTACTGAAGCAAGAACAAAGGGCTTTGTTTTTACCATGACTAACATGAAGTGGCCATCAGACACCAGGCTGGTGACGTTTGGAGACAACATGGCCAGCTGGTCTGGTCTAGGGGGAGACAGTGAGGTCTAGGACAGGCTTTCCCTGGCATGCATATTAGGTGCCAAGAAATATCTATTGACTCATCTATTGCTTTTTAACCACTCATTGTTTTTTCAACCTGTGTTAGGCTCTTGACACATTTTTTGATTTTTCATTTTATATTATCTCCTGAGTAGCTTGGCCTAGGGTCTTGTTGAAGGCTAAGGAGAGAGTTCTATGATCTCCACTCAACTGAAAGAAGAAAATAATGAGGTCTGAAAAACAACAGCTACAGGAACCAGGGAAGCAGTGCTTATCTCTGAAACCAGTGTAAAGAGTTCTATTGGAGATAAGTAGTGAATCTGCCATTGGTGAAACAGATTTCTTTCTCTAGGAATAAAAAAAAAAACAAAAAACTGGGTTTCACTTTGGTAACTGCTATTCAAGACAAACACTGATTCCTTCCCACTCTTCATGCTTGCTAAGGGACAAACCTGTGTGCAATGGCTTCCTGGAAGAGATGCATTCGATCCCAGTATGTTTCTGGTTCAAAGCCTGAAAAAAAAAAAAGAATAAATATTGGGTTGTGATCACAAGGTTTGTAATTCTCGCTGGGCTAGTCTTCTGTACTTTTACTACTCTTGGCAGTCAGTCCCCTTGAGCCTAACCTCTGCTTCTCCATACTACACACCTTGGGAAAGACTGGCCTCTATCCCACAGGTCAAAGAAAGGATAGCTGTGTATTCACACCATCCCTTCCCCCAAGCTATAGCTGGGTCTAGGAAGGTGGAGTCCTCAGCAGCAAGTGTGACCTACTAGAACTCAATATAAGGCTCATTCCAATGACTTCTTGTACCCAAAGCTGAAAGGAGCATGATATTAAAGTACAAACAGAAGATAAACTATAAATGCATGTTAGTTGGCATGATCATAGCTCACTGCAGCCTTTAACTCCTGTGCTCAAGTGATCCTCCTACCTTGGTCTCCTAAGTAGCTAGGACCACAGGCATGCACCGCTATACCCAACTAAAATTTTTTTTTTTTTTAGACAGTGTCTTGCTCAGTCACCGAGGCTGGAGTGCAGTGGTGTGATCTTGGCTCACTGCAACCTCCACCTGACGGGTTCAAGTGATTCTCGTGCCTCAGCCTCCCAAGTAGCTAGGACTACAGGTGTGCGCCACCAGGCCCAACTAAGTTTTGTATTTTTAGTAGAGATGGGGTTCTACCATGTTGGCCAGGCTGGTCTTGAACTCCTGACCTCAAGGGATGCACCTGCCTCAGCCTCCCAAAGTGCTGGGATTACAGGCATGAGGCCCCAACTAACTTTTAAATTTTTAAATTTTTAAAATTTTTTAATTTTTATTTTTTTGGTAGAGATGGCATCTCATTATGTTGTCCTAGCTGGTCTCAAACTCCTGGCCTCAAGTGATCTTCCTGCCTCAGCCTCCCAAAGTGCTGGGATTACAGGCATTAGCGACTGTGCCAAGTAAGCTGCTTCTAAGGAATAACCACCACCCACATTTTTTTTTTTTGAGACGAAGTTTTGTTCTTGTTGCCCAAGTTGGAGTGCAATGGGACAGTCTTGTTCACTGCAACCTCCACCTCCCAGGCTCAAGCGATTCTCCTGCCTCAGCCTCCTGAGTAGCTAGGATTATAGGCATGTGCCACCACACCTGGTGAATGTTTGTGTTATTAGTAAAGAAGGGATTTCACCACATCAGCCAGGCTGGTCTGGAACTGCTGCCCTCAGGTGATCCACCTGCCTCGGCCTCCCAAAGTGCTGGGATTACAGGCGTGAGCCAGTACACCTGGCCCACCCGCACTTTTTTGTATTACCAATCTTCTCACCAGAAAGGGCAAATATAAGCTCCATTTTAGGGGTAGGAAAATTGAAGCAAATAAATATACAATTTTGGGCTGGGTGTGGTGACTCACAGCTGTAATCCCAGCACTCTGGGAGGCTAAGGCTGGTGGATCACCTGAGGTCAGGAGTTCGAGTCCAGCTTGGCCAACATAGCAAAACCCTGTCTCTACTAAAACTACAAAAATTAGCCGGGTGTGGTAGCACACTCCTGTAATCCCAGCTACGCAGGAGGCTGAGGCGGGAGAATCACTTGAACCCGGGAGGTGGAGGTTGCGGGGAGACAACATCACGCCACTGCACTCCAGCCTGGGCGACAGAGCAAGACTCTGTCTCAAAAAGAAAAGCAAAAAAGACTTTGGCTTTAAACAGAGAAAATCCACACACACAGCAAATTCTTGTTAGAGTTTTAAGATTTTGAAATTGCTGCTATAGGAAATGGCAAGAAGAAAAACAGAAAAGGCATAGAAGCAAGGAAATCGATTTTTAGATTCAAATCCTTATTCATTTAAATTGGGACCTTTCTGCAGCTGTGACCATGGCAACCAATAGAGGCTGCTGGTCTTGAAGGCTGAGTTACAACTGGCAGGGAAAACCAACTTGCACAAAAATGTCCCCCAACATTAGCCCTGTGAGCAATCCTGTGCTGTTATAGCAAAGATGGAAAATCCCAAAAGAGTCTTTGGACAGTGTGGGGGGAAGATTTCTCTGTCCCCTCAACATAATAAAAACCATAGTATCATAAGCTGCTTGGCTTAAAACTGTCCCACATGATTGTAATCATCCAGCATTTCACGACTGCATAAATGGTCTCTCCGCCACACCACTGTGAGGTTAAACAAGAATGTGTGTGTTTCAAGGGGGCTTTGTAAGCCCTGTGTGTCCCAGAATCTACAGCCTACAGCAGGTAGGACCTCTGTGGGTCATGCCTGGGACCCCGATTATCATCACTTAGAACACTGTGTCTATAAAAAAATATCTTCCGGCCGGGCGCGGTGGCTCAAGCCTGTAATCCCAGCACTTTGGGAGGCCGAGGCGGGTGGATCACGAGGTCAAGAGATCGAGACCATCCTGGTCAACATGGTG